CCTGACTTGTTGCTCCTTCAAAGTCAAAAACGAAGTGTGCTTCTAACAGCACTATACTGTACTGGCTAAAACAAAGGCCTACTCATTAGCATTATCTTTCACCTCAGCTATGTGGGCACCCTGAATTCCAGTGTTACCAATAATATAACACACATGAGCCAATCAGAATGTAGTCTTGCCAGCTGCTGTCTCGCTTAGGCAACTCAGTAGATCGTAAAGATCCTTTGCTATGTAAAACAAGCACACCTGGTAGATTCCACTTGTCCTTCCAGAGTTGTAAACAAGTATGACCTGTTCTGCACCTTTATGACAGTTATCACACGGCAATGCACACCGTTTCTTCCCATGCACACCGCTATTTTTCAGGGTTTGAGGTAATATGGTAATATGAGTATAAAGGGTGCTATCAGGCTTGGTGGCGCTAGGCGTTCGCAGGACGGATATTATAATACCACACCTGTTGTACATATATTACCAAATATTTCGAAGGCTTCGGACACGAATTTTGCCAGCAATAAAACGTCAATTGCGATGTTCAATTCGCCACTGCCTTGTATAACGGAATATTGACTTCTTGTTACTTTACATAGCCAATCACGCGACTGCAGCGTTCAGTTTCCCACGTCATGTCACGTATAGCCATGTACATAATATGCATATGTGTTACTCATTGCAACATTTCTTTTACTGTCATATTTTCTTTCAACCAGATGAAACAATACAGGGAACCAGTGCTCCACTGGTGACGACAGGTAACGTATTTATTATATTATCAGGTTAAATAACGATGATAGTACACATATAAATAATATTATTAATTACAAATTTTTCAATGTTGGCAATATGTTGTATAATTCTATTCGTATTCGTTGTGAATAACACAATGTAAGATATATATATACATACGTGGACAGAGAAATTCAGATACGACTACATGAGTAAAGTTGACTCTACAGTACTGTTTCGTAAGGTACATGGAGTACCTCACTCATCAGGAGTTAAGACTTTAAATCTGCTCTACAAACTCATCGTTTAGTATCGAGCACTCTCACCTGGAATAATCGACTACCTTCCTATATATATATATATCCATTGAATTTTAAAAATGCATTTTTTTTTTATTTTAGCTCTCTGAATCCTGCAGTAAAATCAACGAAATACCACCTGCTTAAGATATATAGTATATAAGTAGTAAAAACACGTAATTTGTTATTTAGGTTGTATACTGACGAGTATGTTCTCGTTTCAGCGTTTTTCATCGTACTATGTAGTTTATTGGTAGTGCGCTGTAGCGTTGAGGGCGGAATAAATCGAAATAATTAAATTAACAGTGTATTGACTGATTTGTCTTGTTAAGAAAGAGCTTCAACAACGGCAACGAATACGAGTTATGTTGATGTGAGAAATGGATTAAGTGAGCGAAAGAAGACGTACTGTAATATAATGCTATAACGTCTATGGT